GTCTTCTTACGAGTTTGGACTACACTAATGAACTGAGGAAAAAAGTAGAGTCTGCTGCATTTTTACGCAGCTTGCTGCAATGCACTCCACCCCACAGCAAAGCATTGCGGTGCAGAGAAAGAATGTCATGTTATTCTGTGACATTTTAATAAAAAAGAACGAAAAAGTAAACAATGTGATGCATTACAACAATGCATTGCACTGCTCCTACACAAGGCACACCAATGGGCATTTGTTATAGGAAGCATAATGCATGCCACTGGTGTGCATGAGCCCTAAATAAAATCAAATGTATGTTGCAACCAAATGCTGTTTTAGTGCTGTATCAATGATTTCAGGCTTCCTGTTTAACATAGATGGGGAAAATCGACTGATCTCTCATTTAATTTGTGGGGCTGAACAAGAGAACTCTAAGCCTGTAAGGATATATGGATTAGGAATTTGTTTGGGCTCTAGTCTAGTGTTAGGCTTAGTGGTTAAGTATTAATATTGGAGTAAAGGTTAGGGTTTCATGGGGTTGAGTTTAGGGCTTATTTATAATCTGTTTGCGCAGCGTATAGCTGAGTGAACGACATTTGCAGGGTATTAATGCCACGAAATGAAGATGAGGAGCATATTTGTCCATGCAGTGGAAGTAAAGCACTGTGAATGTAATTTGCTCAGCTGGGCGAACATGTTATGTGCTCATTTTACTAGTTAAAGCGTAGGCAATCTCTGGCTATTTATTTGTCACGTGTGGCCAGAAGGCATGATATTATTGACATTAATGGGTACTGGAAATAAATACTTTTTTTTAAACCAGACCTACTTTAAGGGGCTGATGTACAAAGGCTTCTTCCAGTATACATCTGGTCGAACACCATTTGAACAGCATTACTTCCACTAGGAATTCATATTCTCCTCGGCTCTATCTAGTGGCTATAATTCCACAGCTATATGCAATGCAAAATCCTTTATACATCAGCCCCAAAGTATTCAAGTGATCAAGTGATAGGTTCAAGTGATATGTTAAGGTTGAGTAAGTTATATAATATTAAGTGTTAAAGGGGAAGAGAACAAGTATTAAGGCCGTATTTATTCATTTAGATTGAGTTTTAGAATAAGGGTGAGGATTAAGCATTAGGGTCAAGTTATGTGTCAAGTGTTAGGAGAAGTTAAAAGTTAAGCACTCATTTTAGAGATTGGGTTAGATTTTAAGGGTTCATGTATGCAGAGAGGCAGATACACTTTACATATCAGGGACATTTAGAGAAGTTTGAGGATTTGCACTAAAGTGTCATGCTTAGGGTGATACCTCCAAAAGCTTCTCCTGAAAATGTATCTGTTAGTGCAAATAACAAAAGTATCACAGACAGTACCCAACTGTGTTGTCACAAAAGCACCAAAAGCCCCCATCAACTTTGTAGTAGGTGATGAGAGACCAAACGATCTAATACATTACTGAAATCCTTCACCAACCTAGAACAGCAGTTAATAGTGAGAGTATCCAAAAACCAATAAAGTGTGTTATATTCAATAAAGTGCATTATATAAAATAGAGGAAGGTAGGAGTAAATGGTTTGGCCACAGAAACCTGTCCAATATTATCCTAGTGACCATTTGTCCTCAGTTAGGTTCTTTCATATCTGTACACTGAAGGCCTTTTTGTATCACAATACCAATTACACTTTTCTTGTGTTCCTCCCACAATGCACAGAGCTAATTAATGGAAGGAAACCACCGTCAGTTTTTATCTCTAACGCCCTGATAAAGAGGCCCTGTAATGTTGTAGTGGTCTTATGTGTCGTCGTTGGAGCTGCAAACATCTAGTTCATATATTAAGTCAACCTTTTCCAAATGGGTAATGTGCAGAGGTGTAACTAACACCTCAAGATATCAAGTGCCCTCTCTTTGCCCAAAGTAATGTATTTATGGATGTCATCAATCTTAACTTTGCTGATACAGTTGAGAATATAAAGCCCAACTGAACCTTCAGTTTCAATCAGCTAAATACATTTCAGGGGCATCAATAGAAAGGGTGTTCAATGTTTTACAGTTCAAGCAAAATGCTTCAGTCTAAATGCAAGCTGAGGCGTCATTATTGGCCAGCATCATTTAAAGTGGTGCTCTTTAAGCAGTGGCTCTGGAGACACGAGGCTCTCAACTCCCTCTGATGTTATATGTGGGAACCACAAAGCAGGAGCACCATTCCCATCGATTCTAGATACAATATAAGCCTTGAGTATAAAGTCAAAATCCAACCAGTGGCTGGAGACATGTGGCTCTCAACTCCCTCTGATGTTGTATGTGGAAACCACTGAGCAGGTACACCATGCCCATCTATCTAGATACAATATAACCCATGATTATAAAATCAAGCTGAAGTCTTTAAATATAGTTATTTCATTAAAATGTTTACCACTATTAATATTATTAGAAAAAAATGGTTTTCTTGTGAGCTTTAGTCCTCCAAAATGTTGGATAGCAGGAGGAACGCTGACAAGATTCCTGCACCTGTGTTCATTACTCCATCCTCCTAATGCAGCCATTGCATGTGTGGCTTACACTAGTGAAAATGTAGACATGAGACTCCATACATGAAAGCCACAAAGTCTGCCTCGAAATGTGGCTGTTGGAATCTCTGAATGATATAAGAAGCCAATAAATGATTCAGGTCAGTGACCACGCGTAGCTTAAAAATATGTTTTGGGTGGAATTCACCTGTAGTCAGTAAAGCAGTGCAAAAAGGTTTGACAACCAATCAGGTTTCAGTTTACTGTCCTATCAGTGAGAGATTCAGTCTGACTGGCTGCTATGGGTTATTGCACTAACCATCTTGCACAATTAACTGAACATCCCGTTTACCGGATACCTGAATCCTGCTCCTACAGAGTTAGGGAACATCATCGAAACGCACAACGAAAACAACAAAGATCTGAGCAATTGTATAACAGTTTTTGAGTATTTTTTTAAATGACATCCTCATGTGTGTTGTAAAAGTTACTTCGGCTTGAGACACCCTCTTTCTAGCATAGAATTATTAAATCTGCATTTATACTATATAGTAAAAATAAATGTATACTGTAGTTTCTTTTTTTTATTAAACATCCTCTTTTCTATACCCCCCACCCATATTCCTGTCCAGGTTATTATTTTAAAGTGAATGCAACATGCTCAAGTAGACTTTCCAGTCAATTTACCCAAATTCCAACAGGAATTGGCTTATATATTGGTTCCAACTGGAACTGTTCATTTGGAATTTCCCGGTGTAGGAAATTGTACCTATACGTGCCTTGACATGTAGCCTAAAGCACAAGTTCCCCATTCAGATTATCAAGACGTCAAGGCAGTTTGAGCTTACAGAGTGTCCTTACATGGATACTGTTAGGCTGCATTGGTACGTTATGAAGACTTGTCATTGTGGCAGTATCTAGCTAGTGCAGGCCCACCTGCAACTCCAGACTTACACCAATAGAACCTATAGGAACCGCTAAAAACAGAGTTTTTGAAAATTGACTACCTACTCTGATAGGTCTACTTATCTGACTTCCTTATTCCCAGTGAGGTGATAGTTTGCTTTAGCTTTTGCATTCATATGACTCACAAAATGTCTGCTTTTGAATAAAATAAGGCTTCAGTTTCATATATTTCTGTAAGGAGCATTCAGCTACTAGTCATTGCCTGGTAAATTAGCCACTTTGATGGGCCTTCCAGCAATGTGACTAGGGTTTTTTTGCTCATGTGAGGAGACCATCTTTTTGCACTTAGCCATGCTTAGACATGTACATACTGTATGTTTGGGCAACTTATGCTGCACCTAAGTATAGTTTGATTTAGGGCCTGTGTAGATGGGCTTTGGCCTTGTGTCAATGTAATCAGTTTGAGATGCTTCCGAAATTATTCAGAATCCACTGACAGGTACATTTGATCTGCAGCTAACCTCCTTCTGACCAGCATTTGTAAGGGTTTGCATTCCTTTAGACTTGTATAGGGATGCAAACCCCGATTGAAGCGGGTGAAAACCCGTCCACACAGGCCCATAAAGAGCTAATTGTAAACTGGCCTTTACTACACAAATTTGCATATCTATTTCTCAAGCAGGCCTTCATGGAGAATAACAGAAAATTAAGGTTTCACTACAGAAGCATTCTTTTGGTGTGGTATTTAATTTCTGAAGAACGTTCCAGAACTACTCTGTAATCACTTCTGTATCACAACAAAACTGCCCTATTGTACACATAATGTAATTTGCACAGGTAGGCCCTATTCCCTATGAGAACATACTATCTCCTGGGTCTAGAGGGAACTGGTTAAAAGTGACTTTCAGGGTACGAAGTTTGGCCTTGCCTAATCTACTGGTAGGCTCTTTGTTGCTTACATGAAGAGACCAACACTTATGGGCTTACGGTGAATTATGGTAAGTAATCTGTGTGTGCCACCACAGGTAAACTGACTGGCAAACCATCAGGACAGTCTGGTATACTCGCAAAGCTGTCAGTAGGGCCTGTGTTTGGAATTTGGTCACTCTGGCGGACTTCCTTGTACTCCAGACAGGCTTTGTCTGCTCATGTGAGGAGACCCAACAAGCATCTAACTGCCCTGAGCTTTGAGAATTAAGGCAGAGAACTGTTGCCCTAGGTTGCAAATGGATGTGTGCAATACTCCATGTAAACACATACTGCTCTAATAGTAATGTCAACGTAAAAGATCTGTGGATAGGGCACAATAAATCTCTACCTACATGTATATACTTATATGAATATGGTATTTTGCCTGTGATACAGTATCGAGTGACACTCCTACAGCTGGCAAAATAAAGTGGTCTGTATTTTCTATCTACCTCATGTTTCAGCAAGTCACATGACCTTTTTGTTGACTGTCAGGCCTTCTAAGCCTCAGCAAACAATGCATTTGTCTGTTTGCTGGACAGCAAATTGGTCAGCGACCAACTACATTTTATCAAGTTCCAAAAGAAAAAAAAAGAAAAAATTAATTCAGGAAATAAAAGGGAAACAAAAAACTCAAAGCCTGTGCCTGGAATCATGGCTATATCCTCCAGGAGAGCCGCGGTTCCGGTGAGGTTTATAAGTGTCCTGGTAGGAGTCAGAGAATTCTTCTTCCACAAGAGGATAATGGTCACGACTATGCTGGGAACTGGAAGACAAGCGGTTTCTGCTTTTCCGGGCTCTTTCGCTGTGGTAATTTTCATCCGAAGTCATTAAACTTCGTCTTTCGATCGGGGAATTTTCAGTCGAATGGTTTGTGTGCCTCATGCGCTGACTCTGCAATACACCACAGAACATGTAGATTGTTACATTAAAAAAGCTTTGCAATCCCCAAGATATAAGGGAGCATGGTGGGGGGCCTGTAGCCAAATCCCTACTTTATGCCCTCCCTAGATTTGAGGTTTTTATATCTGTTTTGGTCGCAGTTATAATTTATTTAAGGTCATGCAACAATGAGAAGCTGAGAAAGAACTCAACTCTAAAGCATAATTAGCTAGTGTCATACAATAACATGGACTGGGAACCTGGCAATTCACAAAAGATCAAAAGTAGCAGTGACATCATCACTGGGCTTCACCTGGCCTGTGCAGACAGCAGGGCTGTGGGTGGGACACAGGAGGCCTATTAAGTATAGGTTGCCTGAAGATAACTACAGGAGGGGGGCATATACAAAAGCAGTCACCATGCACAAGTAGACAATGCTATATTGGCAGGTCTTTGTTACAGGAAACTCCTGCACAGAAGAAAAGTGCGTGAGTTGCTTCAGGCTGGATAACAGAACAGATATTGAAGAAATACACAAAGGACACCAAGAATTAAGGATACACTTGGCTCTTGTATTTAGACTAGCTTGAAGTCATTGTCCATGATGGACAGGATTAAATACTCCTGAGTACCTCGGTACCTGTATTGATGTAAGCGCAGTAGATCCTAGATTTCTTCCCAGAAGGGGAGTCATGGGAGTACTGCTTGTGGTATGGGTGGCTCGCCAGTAGGCTTCTAGGTATTCTGCTAAGTGTTCACAGGCATCTTCTAGCTGATTCTCATCCAAAATCACATCAAACATTTCCTATTGAACAAAAAAAAAAACACAACACACGCACACATTACTCCACTATAGACATGTGAGGATACACTAATATCATTCTCACTTCTAAGCTTAGCCCCGCCCAACTTATCTGTCCGTTGAGAGAACTTCAGTTTCCAATATTGGCATGCTTACTGGGTACAGGCAGGTGAATGGGACTTAGACAAGAAATGAGAGCAGTCCTGCACTTAGTAACAAATAGTTGGCTACTCTTAGGATGGACCTTTTATACATTTAAAATGGCTCTCTAGTTAACTCTGCATAAAGCCAGCCAGGAATACACATTTGTAAGAATTCAAATCTTCGCTCTTAAGTTGTTTTATTAGAACAACATCAGTTTTAAAGGGATTGCTATGTGTGCAGTTATTCAGTCATATTCTGTTCTTGTCAGAGCCAAATTGTCAGCCCAGTGTCATGCTGCAAGGTTCCCATGGAAGTTGACCTATTTTGAGTTCCTTCCTGATTACTGCCACTCTGTTTAGTCCGCTGGAGATAAGTCAACTTTACAGCCTGTACTCTGTAAGAAATATTAAATTAAACATCAAGTTATCTATGAGAAGTAAAGCTGCTTTATTAAAACAACATAAGAGTGGGTATTTAGGTGATTACAACTACTGACTAGTGACTGGTTCTCTTTAGGTCTTTTGAGGGCATCAGAAGTGAGAGTTAAAATATTATTTTTATTATTATACAGGATTTATATAGCGCCTACAGTTCGCGCAGCGCTTTACAGTATAAGGAAGACATTACAATACAATTCAAGACACGATGGTAAGGAGGGCCCTGCCCTTGAGGGCTTACAATCTAAAAGGGAGGGGCCAGTGATACATGAGGAGGTAGGTGTGTGGGGATGATTGTTTGAGAAAGTGATTGTTCAGTGGTTAGGTTGAAGTGGGATAGGCTTCCCTGAAGAGATGAGTCTTTAGGGATCGCCTAAAGGCAGTCAAGGTGGGAGATAGATGGACAGGTTGGGGCAAAGAGTTCCAGAGGATGGGAGAGACTTAAGAGAAGTCCTGGAGGCAAGCAAGGGAGGAGTTGACAATGGAGCTGGAAAGCAGGAAGTCTTGGGCCGAGCGGAGGGGACGGTTAGGGTGATATTTTGAGAGGTTTGAGATATATCCGGGGACAGAGTTGTGGATGGCTTTATAAGTGAATGTTAATAATTGGAATGTTATCCTTTGGGCGAGTGGAAGCCAGTGGAGGGACTGGAAGAGGGGGGTTGCAGACACTGAGTGGTTGGTCAGGTGGATTAGTCTAGCAGCTGCATTAATGATAGACATAAATGGTCATCTGGACTTCTGTGATTCATGCACCTTAAATGGTAGCTAAAAAACATGGAGGGCTCTGCACCATTATCTCCAATGCATTTTCACTTAGTCCATTTTGTAAACATTGGCTTGCTGTATTTTACAAAAGAAACATCACTATTTGTGATTACCGTATTTTTCGCTCCATAAGACGCACTTTTTTCCCCCCAAAAGGAGGGCGAAAATGTGCCTGCGTCTTATGGAGCGAATCCCGACGCCCGAGACATGCAGTTTCGGGCGCCAGGCGAGTAGTAGGAGCCACTGCACGTTTAATACGAGTGATCTAATGAGATCACTCGTATTAAAACCGAGCAGCTGCTACGATGGAGGTCACCATAGAGCAGACGAAGAACGGACTTTCTTTGTCTGCTCTGTGTGATCACTGAGACCGTGGCGCTGTAATCACAGCGCCACCTGTCTCAGCGGTCACTAACTGCAGCTTCCGTCACAGCTTCTGTCATAGAAGCTGTGACAGAAGCTACAGTCTGTCAAGTGCTCCATAAGGCGCGTCGCACCTCCCAGAGTCCTATGGTCCGGTGCGTCTTATGGACCGCAAAATACGGTATATATTTTAATGCAAGGAATGATGTGCATAAAATATATGAACTATCCTTGTCCCTCAAAAATGCAAATAGTCATAATATATTCAAGTATGCCTGTAAAGTCCATCATAAATGTATTGCAATGTAACAAAAAAAAAGGCACTTAATCTGAGAACTCCAGAAAGGATAATAGAATCCACTATAACTGGTACAGGTAGTGCTTAGTGTTTCGAAAGTCATTCAACTGACCAATATATACCCAAATGTGTGATATTGATATTTGATGGACTGTTTAATTGAATGGATGTGAATAGGAACAGCTGCTTTAAAGCTCAATACCATACAAAACTAATATTTTAATATTTCACGGTTCCTTGTAATTTGGATTTAACATTGGCTTCTTGTACTACTTGAGGGATCCAATAATGGGCAGTGCGTTCAAATGCTGCACCCATTACAAAAGCCACATAACATGTTATGCTTCACTGATGGCATAAAAATAATAATTAGGGAATCCAGTTGATGAAAGTTACTACAGCAGCGAAGTATTTCCACTGGAGATTCTGATAGACATAAGAAGGTAGCCGGTGATTTAACCCGCTGATGTCCACCCAAAACCAAAATATATGAATTCTGGGTGAAATCTGCCCTTAGAAGAAGCACATGGAACAAAGTGATGCCAAAAATTGATGATACACAGATATGCCAATATATTAACAAGGAAATGCTGACATCATTATCATGTCTAGTCTCTAATCATTTGCTTTCTTACGAATGTTGATTGAAACTCACAGAGCACACTTCTTTTGATCAGGGATGGAACAGAATATTGTCATTTACATATAATCAGATCCATACTTACTGGTGGGCACTGTGCAAGTTTGTCAGCAGCTACTAACTGTACATTTAGGTGTTTGCTTTGGGATTTTCCTCTAGATTTAATAAGCCGCTGCAAAACCTGCAAAGAGAGCAACAGATTTTAATGCTGATTTTATACAGTTCATGCACACGCAAGCATTGTTTAATCCCAGTATGGCTGTTTCAGCGCTTGGGTACCAGTGCCTGCCCCACGGTCCTTTTCACACTAACTGTCCTGTAATCCAAACACTATGGGCCATGTCCATTGAGATGTGTGTGAACAGGACACAAGGAATCCAGCAGTTATAGTGTCACCAAACCCTAACAATTCATTCAGTTTTTAAAGCCCAGCTCTGGGCTCAGCCCTCAAGTGGTCCACCGCCATCCCCCCCCCCAACGCACCCAATAAGAGGTGCCCACCAGCAGTAAATTCTGCTTTTTCTATATATTTCCCTTTTCCAAATATCTCTAGGCTGGCCATGTGATGTACAATTTTATGTCTCTCCCAATCCTTTTCAGTGGTTGGTAGTCATTGATGATGAAGCACATCATGTCCTATTCATTATAACACTGTGAATTCTGTCTATTGTTCAACCCAGATGACTGAAGATATAATGTGGTGAAAATGCAGTACTGCAAGGTGCATTTCTGGACTGAAAATGAGTATTGCACCCTGTGCAGCTTCTTTTTTTTAACTGTTGGAAAGACATTTTAAGGAAATTAGCCCTGGGTTGGTCTTTATATTCCCCCTTCTCCAGCTTTCCTAATGCATTACTTAACATCCATGATAACCCATCCCAGCATCCCCCCACAAATCCGATCCTCACCCATCTCTGCTCCTTGATCTTTATGGTGTGACCCACTGGGAACCACACAGCCTGCTGACCGCCAATGTAAGGGGGGCACTACAATTGTTACAGTCAGCTTTTCTTATATTATTATTATTCATTTAATTTCGTGCTGATCACTGAAAATCACTCTGTGGCATAGAGCAGAGGGAGTGCTAAAATATCATCCACTCTGGGTGTCAGATGTTCTAGGTACAGCACATTTCTTATTCTTTTATTTATGATTTATTTATACCTACAATTCACTGGTCACACTAATGAACCATGAGCTGTAGATGTAAAAAATGTTGGCAGGGATTCCCTGAGATATGCAAACTATTTCAAGGATTGCTCCATTGTAAAAGGGTTGAGAAAGGATTGCAAATGTGTATCTAGAATATTAATGCAAATATATTTGTGCAAAGATAATATTTATATAATAATAATTATTATTAT